GCCTCAGGTTCGGTGAATATTGTCAATTAATCCTCTCGACTTGGTCTCGGGGATTATTCGACGATATTCACCTCGCCTTCGGCGAATAATTGTTAAATATCATACTCGTGAATAATACTTTTCATGCACGCTAATTGGCTAGTTTGGAAGTGGATAGCAAGTACTATTCACCTCTTCGGTAAATAATTAATTCTTAATTATCGTTTATCTTTCGATATGGCTACCTGCAGTGATAAAGATTCGAAACAAGAATATTTGAGAATAACAATAATTCCAATATTTTATTATCGTACTTTACGCTGATGAACAACAAAAATTTTTTTTTATTTTTTGCGCGAAACACAAGATTTGAATATAAACAAGTTATTTTGGGTTTTTGGATACTTCCTTTATCTTACTGAGTGATAGCTGATAAATTTCCTGTAGCAATGTAATACATTTCCAGATATATCAATTATTTTTTCATTTTTATCTTTCCTTTTTTTAGGCTGAGAACTTGCATTTGGTAGAGGACAGAGAAGAAATAGAAGGAATGGTAAGAGCTATCGATAAAAATTTATCAACTTTACCAAAGTTTTTCATGGTGTGTTTGGAACAAAGTGGAGGACAATAAAAACTACATTTTATTTTGCATAGAAGTCAGACGTTCATATCCTGGAGAAACTTGCCATCCTTCATTTACCTGAGAAGAGACGTTGAACAATATAATTTGTATTTTAAGTAGAGTTCTTGCTACTTCGATTTTTGTTATTGTCTGCAATGCATGGTAAAGTTAAGGTGATACATAGGAAATTTCTTGTTTCCACTCTGTGTTTCGGAGAAGGAAGCCCTACTGATACAATACCTTCGTTTAAACTTTTCCACTTTTGCTTCTCGACATTCGTATTATAAGGCACTTTATGCTTAAAAGGTAGTCTGTTTCAAGTTTCTCCAGCATAAGTCGTGTTATGAATTGATAACAAAATACAAACCCATAGTCTTCGTACCTCAGATAACTCGCCTAGAAGAGAAACACGTTGAAGATCAAAGAAACATCAAACGCATGGTTGAAGAAAAAATGCAAGCACAGAAAAAGCAAGCCGAAACCGCCATATCCGCAGCGAGGGAAAGGTCGGCAGCTGAGAAAGAACGATATTTACGACAACAAAGAGAACTTCAAACTCAGATAGATGCTGCTAAACGAAAACAGCAAGAAGATGAACAAACCATAAAGAACTTGCGAGAGAGACTGAGGAGAATGTGATTAAGAAAAAGAACTTTATAAGACGGAAAATTGAAAATATCATGAAAGGTTATAAGAAAAACGAAAAATAGGCATGCTACGCATGCAGGAGCTATTTTTTTGGGATATGTAGGTTGAAATAGGACACTATATAACTGATGCTGGTGTCTGAATAATTGTTGGCAAAAATAAACTGCATTGGTACAACGCTTCCTGCAGTCCCCTCCACAGCCCTAATTTGAACTTGTCACGCAACGCTCTC